AGAGAGGATCCAAAATGAGGCCCATACCTAAGCGTGACTGCAAGGTTATTTATTTTGGAATGTTTTGCTAGATTTCATCCTTCACACATGATGGAATTTGCTCCAACCCAAATTTTCATTACCGGACATCCCTGTCCAAGACCACTGCTTTCAGAAGATGATGCAGTGTTTCATTCAGGGAGACTCCAAGGAATTTCTTTGCTTATGTATATAGAAACAAAGGGATGCAGCCTAACAAAATATCTTACTGACCTGAAAAAAGAGTATCCAGAAGAGATTTTGTCTTCTCCCCCAAAAATTCAATTAAGAGCGGTTCACCTTGTCCTTTTTTCTGAAGTTGCAGAGTCACTTCCTTGCTGAAACTCCATGGCATTTTCATCTTAAGGCTTTTTTCCAGTATGCTTTCCTGTGAGAGTTTTGTTCTCTATGATTGCTAGGCTCACACTTGTGAGAGAGGACAGATAGCAAAAGCTCTAAACCAGATGGAGGTACCCGCAGTCACGCTGAGTAGCAACCTTGATTAGATTTTTAATAATGCCAACATATTAAGCAGAACTGTGACAAGAAGAACAGATTCAAAGCAGCCAAGGAGGTAGCTACAGCTTTAATAAATCCTTTGCCGATTTGGGAAGTGGGAGGGTGAGAGAGCACTGATCTCAGCATGTAAAACTGAGGCAGGAGCTTAGAAATTAGACCTGGTACATCACTGGACTACTGCTGGGAAGCCACACGGAAAGACATAGCTTCGTATTTTAAAATGTAAGTAGTCAGCTCTTGGTTTCTAATGTCTCTTCCTGGAAAGCATTAAAAAAAATTATAGTAAATAAAAAACCTAAAATCTCGGGTAATTGTAGGAAGCAACCTCAAATTCTGCATTTAGAGCCATAGGATCTAATAGCACAGAGTACTTCAAGTTTTGCCACACACACACACACACTTATTTCAAATCAGAGGTTACACACCAAAAGCTCACTTTCAGCCTTTTAGCCTCAGACAGGCAGCACTTAAACCACATAACTGCTAGCAGCTTTCTGTTCACAAACCATCCTGGCAGGTTCTGTGCCCGAGTGCCTGGCTCAGCTGGGTGTCTAAGGGAAGGGGCTGCCTTGTTCATGCTGCAGTAGCACTCCAGGTGCCCTCTTTATTACCTGCCCCTGACTCTATCTCCTCCCCATATGGACTCCCTGGCTTCCTGGCACTTGGATGTACCATCAAATAATACCTTGCCTTGTTCTCTGACAATGCTTTCATGTGGATCTTGGTAACGGAGAACCTTTTGATTTCTCCACCTCTTGATCTTGGCCCACACTGACTGCTCACTTTTTGTTCTGTTCTGGGCTCACATGGAACTACGGGGAGCAAATTTATTTGTGATTGACCAATGCAACCCTATGCCTAACATCTACAAAGCAAGTCTCCTTGCAAAAGAAAAACTGCAGGATCAGAAGCTCTCTCAGTAAAGCAAAATATTTTGTTTAGTCCTTAGTAATGAGGAAGCACGAAGAAAAGGAAAGAAGGAATGTCAGAAAGTATAAAGTCATCAAAAGCAACTAATATGTACAATTTTGTCAAAGCCCACTTCCAGGTCACAAGAAAAATATAATTTTATTTTATCAGCAGATTAAAATGAAGGAGACACGGTTTCCAATGAAGAATTTTACCACCATCTTCAACAGGATAGAAAATAAAAAATTAAAATAATAATAACGATAATAATTATAATAATAATAATAATAATAATAAAAATAATAAAAGTGTCTTTAAAGACAAGTTTTGCCCTTTAACATGCAGACCTGTTACTGCACTGATGGAATTTTTATCATAGAATCATAGAATATACTGAGTTGGAAGGAACCCACAAGGATTCAGTCCAGGTCCTGGCCCTGCACAGGACAGCCCCAAGCATCACACCATGTGCCTGAGGCTGACAAACACTTCTTGGACTCTGTCAGGCTTGGTGCTGTGACCACTTCCCTGGCAAGGCTGTTCAACTTCCCAAACACCCTCTGAGTGAAAAACCTTTTCCTGATATCCATCCTAAACCTCCCCCAACTCAGCTTCAGGCCATTTCCATGAGTCCTGTCACTGGTCACAAGAGTGAAGAGATCAGTGCCTGCCCCTCCACTTCGCCTCATGAAGATGGTGTAGAGCCCAGTGAGGTCTCCCCTCAGTCTCCTCTTCTCCAGCTGAACAGACCAAGTGACCTCAGCTGCTCCTCATACAGCTTCACCTCCAGGCCCTTCACCATCTTCATTGCCCTCCCTTTCGACACTCTCTAAGAGCTTGATATCTTTCCTATATTGTGGTGCCCAAAACTGCCACAACATTCAAGGTGAGGTGCCCCCAGTGCAGAGCAGAGCGGGACAATCCCCTCCCTCGACCAGCTGGTGATGTTTTGCCTGATGGCCCCCCAGGACACGGTCGGCCCTCCTGGCTGCCAGGGCACTGCTGACTCATATTCAACTTGCCACTGACCAGGACCCCCAGGTCCCTTTCTGCAGCGCTGGTCTCCAGCCTGTCAGTCCCCAGCCTATACACACAGCCAGGGTTGCCCCATCCAAGGTGGAGAATCCAGCACTTGCCCTTGTTAAACTTTATATGGTTGGTGATTGCCCAGCCCTCTAATTTGTTGAGATCTGGGCACAAAGGGCAGCAGGACCTTCAGGTCTTGATGAATGCCTCAGGTACTAGGGCCTTAGTAGGAGATGCTGTTCATACTGTCTTTCATGCATATAAGCCTTGTCTTTCATATGAAGAAAGGCATGTAACAGTTATTTGAGTAATTGCAATCCAATTACCGCCCCAGGACAGACCTGCCCCTTTGCAGAAATACATCTGGGAATCTGCATAGATTTCAGACTGAAGGTAACAGAAATCATCTTGATAAGATACAGAACAGTCCTGCTTCTAACCTACCTGTTTTGTCAATGAACGTAATCAGTGAGGCCACCACAGATATCCAAGGGTACGCTGTGGATACTGCTTGGAGCTGCAGGAAAGGAAAATACAGTGGCAGCAGAGGGGCTACCTGTACCCAGCCTCCCAGTCAAGGCCAAGGAAGAACATGTAAGCACTGTCTGGGTGTGCACTAAGTCGAATATTAATGTGCAAGATGGTTACTGGAACCTTTACTATTTAAATTGCTTGTTTTTATGTTATAGTGAAGGCCAAGTGACAGAAATAAAACATTACTTCTCTTGGTACTCTCTACTTAAATTGCAGCAATAAATATTTTTAAGAGTAGTGTTGTCAAATCTCAAGTACAGGTTCATCCCTCCAGATTGTACATCATGCTAGCTTGTTATCTACCATTTCATTAAGAGCTTTCATAAATAAACTGGGAGCTACCTCTCTCCTGGTCTGGCTATTTCTAGAATTTGTTTCCATAAGAGTTCCTGCTCTTTTAATCTTCCCACACAAGAAAGTGCTTTGTTTCTGCTGAAAGCAAACTAACTCCATGTCCCTGTCCTACCTGCCTGTGAGGATCTGTTCAGTAGCTATAAGGATCCTACTTCCTTGCATTTCACAATATTAAACAAAATGCAAAGAATGTTTCTTGCATACTTAGATAAATGTGAATCTTTTGTGAACTCCCCTTGCCTTTCTGCAAAAGAGAAATAAAAATAATGATAGATTGAAATTACAAATTTCTAGTTTTCACATCAAAAGAGAATGAAACTGATTTCCAACCAAGTTTGAGAAAGGACAAAAAAGTAATAACTGAAAAACACACTTTCCCTGATGTGCTAAGGCTGTGATTACCTAACATGATTTCCCTTTCAAAACTCTCCATTGCTATGAGTCACAAATGTCTTTGATAGTGGTTTGCTGACAGTCTCCCATATGCTGGTTGTCTCAAAAACGCACACAGCTTGTCCAGCAAAGTGCTAAACCTCAGCATTTTGCAACCCTCCAGTTTATCTAGCAATTATAGTTGCTACAAAAAGGAAAAAAAAAAAAAGGCTGCTATTTGCTCAAAAGTATTTATAATCATTTCAGCTATTTCTGAGAGTGAATACAAGAACAGAATGCCCTGGCATATACAGTAACGAAAAGTGAGGGACAGCTCTCTTTTGTGGTTGTTGCATGTGCTGCTGACAAAGGAGATGCTGTTTGGTAACTAAATATATTAAAGATTGATATTGGCCTTTATTTCTGTTTCCTGATTTAACTTTTGTTTCAGAACATCACTGCTTTGGCTTGCACACTTTGTCTTCCAGTAAATCACAGCATGCACTTGCAAACACAGAGGGAGTCTCCAGCTTTTCCCAGGCATCAAATGGTGATTAGAAAATCATCCTGTATCATAAACTGCAGGTCTGAACCTGACCACTGACACATAGGTTGAAGAAAGAAGGCAGCTAGGGTTGAGAAAGGGAACTGTTGCATGGAGCACAGAGAGATTTATTGTCTATATAATTACTTTTTTTGTGGTTTGCACTGGCAGGAGAGACTTTAACTGAAATTGTTATAGGTTTGG